ATCTGCCGCCAACTCTATATGAATTGCTTTCGTGGCAAGGCAAATGAATAATGCTATATAACACTTAATCTTTTTAGAATTTTTTCGCTGACCTTCCTTGTATTGGAATGGTCCCGCATAATCTACGCCGCATCTTTGAAACGCGTAGTTTACTACATTTACACGCGGTTCTGGTAAATCCGACATTAAAGTCGTGCTTAACTTAGGAGCATTACGCACGCATACGATACATTTTTTAATTATACTCCGTACAATACTTCGCGCCGACGTCGGCCAATAATTTCGACGTATAGATGTCAATGTTGCTTGTGCTCCCGCATGTAATTGACGTTCGTGTTCATATTTAATAATTAATCTTGTGAAAGGATGTTTGCCTGGCAATAATATCGGATGCTTATACTGATAAGACACATTAGCATATCTCAATCGACCACCCACCCTTAAAAGGCGATGCGTATCCATGAAAGGATTTAATGCCAGAATATTACTATTTTTGTTTACATGATTGTTAATCTTAATGGAATGCAACTCTGCTTTAAAAGCGTCATGCTGTGCTAATCTTGCCAAAGCTATCTCCGACTGCTCCAGCTCCTCAATTGTTAATGGCTGAAATTTACTTATCCCCATGTTATGTGGTTTATGAGATAAGTCTCCTTTTCTTGCTCTACAATTCCTAATGAATCTATGGCAAAGAGCCACAACACGTATGAGACGCGAAAATTTCGAAAACCGATAAAAGATATCATATTGAGATTCAGTTCTTATCTCGGCCTTTAAGATTATCGTCCTTTCTTCAAATATTTCAACTTCCGGAGCATGTGACCTCCCAGAAGGCCATTTGCTCTCATTCAACCTCAGCCAAGACGGTCCGGACCACCATATGCTTAAGTTACCTAACAAATCAGGCATGACGCCCCGCGAAAGTGGATCAGCAGGATTTTCGGATCCAGACACGTGTCTCCAATTGTTAATATCCGTAAGCCTTTGTACTTCCGCTACGCGGTTCGCTACAAACGTCGTCCATTTACGGCTGCATGATTGCAGCCAACATAACACTATACGTGAATCAGTCCATAGAAAAACAGATTCCACTTGGAAAGGCAAACAATTCCATATCTTGCTTACAAGTTGAGCCAGCAACAATGCTGCACAAAGCTCGAGTCGTGGTATGGATAATGCTTTAAGGGGCGCTACTCTAGATTTAGAACACAATAGATGCACTTCTATCTGACCATCACATGAAATGGATCGAATATAAAGACATGCCCCATAGGCTTGTTGACTCGCGTCACAAAATCCATGAATTTCTGCGACTTGCATATTACTACATACCACCTTTCGTGATATTTCGAGATTTTTGAGGAATTGCAACTTACATTCATATTCTCTCCATAGAGTTTGAGATTCGCTTGATATAGATTCATCCCAATCAATTTTGGAACGCCATAAATCCTGCATCAAGAGCTTAGCGATTATTATGGATGGCCCTAATAATCCTAAGGGGTCAAAAACTAAAGTCATTCTGGACAAGACAGCACGTTTTGTGAGTCTTGTCAATGGATGATGATCCCCTACGCTCACGAAATTGAATGTGTCTGATTTACAATTCCAGCTCACTCCAAGAGCTCGGATTTCACTATTGTTGTCGAAAGTTAAATTGAATTCCTTCTCGATGGGACCTTGATGGTCTCGCAAAGATGAATGATTAGATGACCACTTTGCTAATTCAAATCCACCCTTTTTCAGAAGTTCTGTGGTTTGTCTCTTGATTTCAAGTGCCTCTTGAACTGTAGATGCTCCTGTGAGCAAATCATCTACATAAAAATCACGTAGTACTATCTTTGATCCAATGGGAAATGATTCTATTTCATCTTCTGCTAGTTTTCGAACAGTTCTAATCGCCAAAAATGATGCAGATACTGTTCCATACGTGAGTGTCAAAAGTTCGAAGATCTTTAAATCATCTTGCGGTGAGCTACGCCAGAAAATACGCTGAAGATGCCTTTGAGATTCATCGACTAGAACCTGCCTATACATCTTACGAATATCGGCGGTCACTACGTATTCGAAATTACGAAAACGTGCCAAAATGGAAAATAAGTCGTCCTGAATAGTTGGACCAGCTAAAAGCGTGTCATTTAATGATAACCCTGATGTGGTTTTGCATGAAGCGTCGAATACTACCCTTAATTTCGTTGTAATGCTACTCTCTTTTAAAACTGCATGATGGGGCAAATAATAAGAGCTTGTTTCGTTCGTATGATCTTCTATTTCACGCATGTGTCCCAAATCAATATATTCCCGCATGAAATCCTTATATTTTGTGTAGACCGCGGGCTGAGCTAATAAACGCCTTTCTAAATTAAGAAACCGACACCTAGCGATTTCCTTCGATTCACCTAACTGTGTAAATTTCTCATTGTTTATGGGCAGCTTTACTACAAAACGACCTTCTACATTGCGCCGAGTATTTTGCTGAAAATGCGTTT